CCCACAGCTTCTCATTTCCTGTCTCCTTGTCTGTACTTGGGCCACTTCTCCCATGGTCAGACTTAGAGCTTTGCAATCCCTGACACTGCTCCACCAACACATTCACCAGTTCCCAAGTGCTAAACTGTTCCTTGATTTACCTCATAAGTAAAATGGACATATTAATAGTCTACCCATCAAAGCAATTTTGGAATTCTTTTCTGGAATAGCCATCAGAGCTGTTGTCATGAGAATGTCGAAGATTGAATTAGAGCAACAAACAACGCTCTCCCACCAGGCACCATGGTCACCTGCTCCCACCTGTCATTTTTCTACCTTCCTGCGAGCTACGGCGCATTCTTCTGCTCTCTGCCTGTGCATCAGAACTTCATTTCTTCCTTTCTTATTCACCTCACTTGGTTCCCAAGACCACACTTCACAAATGCTCTTAGCAAAATCTCAAACATGTTTGCTCTCTCATTCCTTCATTGCATACATCTCAGAAGCCCCCACCCTTAATGGATCCAGCCTGGCAGAAATTTCCATATCCAAGCACCTGCAAACTGACTCTCATCTGCTCCAGTGGGTCATTAGAGGTTTCTCTGGTCTCTCTTCTTAAACTGCCTCTACTCCTTTCAACCTCCCACCCCTGCCCTTCTTCCTCACTTTAAAGATGAATGACCTCCCCCAGCTTTGGAGGGCTATGAGCACCTCACATCCCTAATCCCACACATAAGCTGCCGAGGTCCACACACCAACTGTCCCCCCTCCATACTTCCCTCAGCTTGCGTGTCCTACTGACATCTAGAACCGTCTACCACTGGCCTTCTTTCTTTCTCATGTATAGTCCACCTTTCTCTGACTAGGTCTTCCTCATTTGCTTTTTTAGACACTTAAGTATTTGAAACGCAGACACTGCGTTCTCACCTTCTCTGACTGCGTTGCTCTCTCCTGCTCTGATAGCTTATTAGCGCTCAGATTTCCCTGAGGTCCCAATGCTGCCCATCTCTCACTGCTTCCCTTGCCTCAGTTTCTGCAAATTTCATTCTCATCTGATTCCAGACCTGTCTCTCTAGCCATCCAGCTCCCAACAAAGCTTTCAATAACTGTCTGGAACCTCCCGGACATCAGTCCCTCCACAGGATGCCTCCTCGAAGTCCTCTCCTCCCTGGCCCCCCAGGACCAGCACACATCTGCCTTGCCACTCTGAACCATGAATATATGTTAATAATTAAGTAATGGTAATGAATTGTAAGAAAATGAAATGGACAACATATACCAAATGCAAGCCCCTGTTTTGTTGTCAGTGTATTCAGTAGACATGATGTTCCCTGTGAAATTGCTGTAGAAGTGTCTCCATTTCTGTGCTGTCTTTATATACCTCACAAGCCACTCAAGAGCTGACGTCAGTCCACAGTTCTCCTTAGAGTAAAAAGAGATAACTATTAACCCGTGAAAGGCCTAGATTTGGGGTCAGCCAGCAGCTTCTATAAAAGATCACAGAGTAAGAATTCTAGGCTTTCGGGCCATGTGGTCTCTGTCACAACTTCTCAGCTCCAATGTGACTACCCAGCTCTTCCATGGTAGCATAAAGCCTTCATAGCACACACACAAATATTCCTGTAAACTGTGTGACAAAAAGAAGGCAGGGGGTAGATTTGGCCCACAGGACAGACACAAATTGCCAGCTTCAGGCCTGGCCACCACTGAAAGTCCTCTTGACAGCCTCACTCACATCTGCTCGGCCCCTTAACTTCACCCCATCACTGCAGGAGACCGGGTGCCTTCAAAATGTGGTGATGACGTGTGACACTGTTGTGGCCCTTGCTCTCAAAAACCTTCAGAGGTCAGCACAGTCCAGCCTCACCTGCCTTACCTCCCTTGTGCTCCTGCTTATCTCTGTGTCCCCTTAGTCCCTTCAGCCTTTACCCTGTGCTTCCTGTGTTCCCCACACTTACTCATGCCAGGCTTTGCACACAGCCTCCTCTTCTGGGACCTCTCCCCCTCCTTAACTCTTACCTGTCCTCATGTAGGTCATTTGCTAAGAGAAGAGTGCTCCCACCTCTTTGTTTAGACCAGGTGCCACTGGCAGAAAAGGCCAAAGTGTTCAACCTAGGGAACTGGGAAAGGAGTGGTAATTAATTGCCCCTGGATGTAGGATCTGCTTAGATGCATATATAGAACTGGCTCATACTTGGCAGAATATCCTTCCCTCTCACTTTTTCACATTTGCAATTCAAAGAGCATATACATAGCCATTTGTATTATATAAAGTGATTATTGCATTGAATTTAGACTAGAGAAGGCATTTGGAGATAGTTTTAGTAAATTTTCTTAACCAGTCTAAAAATATTTCTGAACTGTCAACCAGAACACAGAAATCCTATATACTTGAAATTGTTTAACCTTAATTTGGACAATTTGGGAGAACATGGCACCAATCTCATCTTCATAGTTGACCAGTGATTCTCAGACCTGGTCCAGTGGCTGCAAACCATCGAGTGAGGAAGACCACAGGCTCCCAGTGCATGTGGACTTCTCGTGGTGTGGGGTAGCTGTGGCACCAGAAACCTGACTGCACTGTGCATGTGCTGGTCTCCTCATAGCTACAAGATATGTATCGACAAGATATGTTTTTAAGAAATCACATTTGAGTTGTCCTGTTAGTATTTGCAGCCTGCTGACTGGTGCCATTGTGGCCAGTACTCACTGTCAGGCTGTGGCAGGTACAAGTACAAGGAAGAAATATATGAGCAAAAATGCTGAAAAGTTCATCTGACAATGAGCTATCACCACACGCCTATTAGAATTGCCAAAACCCAGAACACTGCCAATTGCAAATGCCATAAGGATGTATAGCAACAGGAATTCTTGTTCACTGCTGATGGGAATGCAAAACGATACAGCCACTTGGCAGTTTCTTACAAAACTAAACATACTCTTACATACAGTCCAGCAATTAAATTATTGCATTACATTCTTAGGTATTTCACCCAACTACGCTGAATGCTTATATCCACACAAAAACCTGCCCACAGATGTTAATAGCAGCTATATTCATAGTTGCCAAAAACTAGAGGCAACTAAGATAGCCTTTGATAGGTGAATGGATAAACAAACTTGATTATCTGTAACAGAAAATGTTAATCAGCATTTTTTTAAATGAACAATTAATCACTGAAAAGACCTGAAAGAATTTGAGGTGCCTGCAGCCCAAGGACAGTCGGTGGCTTGTATTCGACTAACAGCTGATCAGTAATAGAGCCCAGACTGACCTGAAGCTCCTAGCCCATTTCTTCCCTTACATGTACAGTCACTAGGCATGCGCATGCCGACACACACCCAAAAGATAGACAAGAGAAGCTCTGCACCAGGATTTGGTGGTAGTCCTTGCTGACAGCATTGTGAAGCAGATCATTCATCCACACTCGGGGAAGAACAGGTGGATTTATGTAGAAACAATTTGGGAATTTTTAACTGCATTGTTCACTTTTTTTTTTCCTAGAGATGCGGTCTCACCAATTGCCCAGGCTGGTCTCGAACCCGTGGGCTGAGGCAGTCCTCTCACCTCAGCCTCCCAAAGTGCTGGGATTATAGGCGAGAGCCATCGCGCCCAGCCTGTTTACATTTTTAATGTCTGCTTCATGCCTGGCACTGTGCTCTGCTCTGTCATGTGTATTATTTAATACTCACATCAGTAAGGTGGGATAGGTGACCTCAGCTCTGTAAACTCAACTGATGCGTGACCTACAAGGTTGCATGGCATGCCAGAGCCCCAGTAAAGGACTGCACAACTGATTTAATGAAAAGCTAAGCATCATTTTCCCTCATGGGCTCTTCATTAACAGTGCCTGCATTCTCTGTTTCCTTGCGTGACATGCAGATGGTGCCAAGAGGAAACATGTGAATTAGTATATAGAAGAGATGTGTGTGACGTGTTCTAATACACATTTTTTAAATATGTAAACCCCTAAACTTATTAAAAAACATACTTGGCATGCACACAAAATCATTTAATTAATCATTAATTGAAAAACATATTGTTGAATGTATGTCTTGCTTCCTAGATCCTATAACTAATGAGTATAAGGACATGGCGTTCATGTACCATATTACCCCCACAAAGCTTTGCGATCTCTGCCAGACAGGAAGTACTTAAAGCCTGTGTGTTGACCCACTACATAAATGGGTACATCTACAATATTCAAAGACAGTGCCTGTCATGTTGAGAAAAGACATAGCAAACATCCATTGTTAGTATCTTAAAAGGTTATATATTCTCTCTGATATTATTTTCCCATTCATTTGCCTAATAGCCCTCCTTTCTGTATTGCATAAGGGCAAAGATAAATATAAGAGAGTCCAAATTAATGAGCCAGTTTGTCAGTATCAGCCAGTCTTTCCATGATTGAAGTTACAGCATGAAGTGATACAAAAGTGTGCTGTGTGTCAACACAGTGGCCTGGAACATGTTGCGTTAGCATCATTCATTGATTCTTTTTCATATTGATAAATTAGAATTATGTTAAACATTTAAAACCACTTATTTAACAGACACGTGGAGATCTAACAAATACAAATATGTCAAACACATAGCATAAAATTAAATTATTGATTTTTAAATGACAGCAATCACAAGATAGAGTAATCTTGCTAAAAATGAAACCAGTCATAGATTGGGGAACGGGGAGCTTTCCAATAAAAAGCCTCTTGCCAGTGTTCTATCAGTTAAGTTTTAATGTTTGTATGGTTTGACCAGTTTGAACAATTTCTCATACTTGATGATTTAATCAGCTTGAACTACATCTCAAGCTTGGCTCTTACGGCCTGATTTCATGTGCAGCGTTGACAAATGACTCTCCCTTCTGCTGGCCACTGCCTGACCTTGTCATAAATACCAGTGGCTGAATGAGGCTGCTTCCAGCAGATCCAGCAGCTGTGTCTTGTGGCTGGTGTTTTGGTCATACATTTTACCACATCTTACACATATGTCTAGTCATGTGTTCCGCTGTGTCTTGCAGAGCTGCAGAAATTGGAGGGCAGCAGTGGACTTGTGTGGACGCCTCCTCACAGCCCATGGCCAGGGCTATGGCAAGAGTGGGCTGCCCACCAGCCATACGACAGACTCACTGCAGGTGAGGACACCTTTTTGTAGCTATATTTTTATTTTGGCTTATCATAATTTGAGGACATGGATGGGAACATGACCTTCCATGCCAATGAGAACAATTTGAGGCTGTGTATGGTGGCGCATACCAGTAATCCCATCACTTTGGGAGACTGAGGCGAGAGGATTGCCTGAGCCCAGGAGTTCATTACCAGCCTGGGCAACATGGCTTTGCATACACTCTCCTCTTCCAGGACTCTCCCAGGACCAAACAGATCACCAGATTCTCCAAAACTGTGAAGAGCTTCTGAATGGAGTCTCCCTGAGGAGACCTGATGGCTTAGTTATTTCTAGCAGACTCATTTTTCTTCAGTCTCCTCCCCCAAGAGTTGACTGTGTACAAGGGAGACAAGAAGAGCAGCTCTAACCTGAGATGTCCCTCCTTCCTCCTCACCCCGCCATCCTTTGGTTTGCTAAATCATAGGTTATTTTTCTTTCATTTCTCACAAACCCATCACCACCCCAATTCGGGCCCTCACTGGAAGGTGACTTTAGCCAACTGTGTGAAGTTACTTAAAGTCTTGTATTCACATTCATTCAATAAACTTCTGCCATCTCACTTTCCTTCTCAAAAACTGTGCCAGTAATGGGTGTCTGTATTCATAGCTACCCGGGAGGCCGAGGCAGGAGGATCTCTTGAGACCAGGAACTCTGAGCTGTAGTGAGCTATGCCAAGTTCTAAGTTCCCCATCAGTATAATGACCTCCAGGGAGAGAGGGACTACCAGTCTGCCTGTGGAGGATGAACCAGCCCAGGTCAGAAACAGCACTAGTCAAAAACTGAGTAGCTTTCTGTTGCCCAATAAGTTACATGTAATATTATACAAACCTTCCAAATCATGGCTGTAACACAAAGGCAGAGTGAACAGAGCATTAGACTCAACTTGATACCCATCCATATGCATTACCTCACATATTTATCAGTGTTGTGTATGTGTAATGAGAACACCTAAAATCTACTCCTCAATTTCCAAGTATGTAGTACATTGGACTCAAACTCTTAGGCTCAAAGAATCTGGACTACAGGTGCAGCCACCACACCTGGCTTCAAGAGTATTTTTATAAACGTGATTATGCAAATATGCAAAGATAAAAATTTAGGTTGAACCTTTGTAAGATATTAAAAACCAACTTCTGAGCCAAGTTCATAAGGAATAGAAATATCTGAACTTGATATGTATGGATAACCTATTGTTTCCATTGTATGTTGTATTTTTAGCTTTGGTTTGTGCGGCTGGCGCTCCTGGTGAAGTTGGGCCTTTTCCAAAATGCCGAAATGGAATTTGAACCCTTTGGAAATCTTGATCAGCCAGATCTTTATTATGAATACTACCCTCATGTGTATCCTGGGCGTAGGGGTAAGGAATGGTATTTAATATTTGCAAATTTTATGTATTTTGCTCTGCTTTATTTAGGCATAATTAGGTATCCCTAGTTTTCCTTATTTATCCAGTCAAATAAGACAAATCAAATAAGTAGCTAGCAAAAACGCTTGATGTTCAGAATGAACTTGCTCAGTTGTATAAACACACTGACCTAGAAGTATTCCCTGATACATTCATTTGTTCGTTTAACAACCATGTGTCAACCACCTGCTGTGTCAAAGCAGCATGATTTGGTGTAGGCGCTTGGTGGTAGACTCTGAACCATGCTCACAGTGAAAAGTAATTTTATGTTATGACCTAGTACATATATGCACACATGGAAATGAAACAAAAGCATTCAACACTCATCCTTACCACTTGGCACACACTATGATATTTTCTATTAGTCTCTATTCTGATTTAATTTATTTTAAAAGTCTGGTTATGGGGCGCGCGCCGTGGGCAGGGGATTCAAACGTTCGGACCTGGGTCTCAAGGCTTGCCGCGGGGTCCAAAGGGCCGGGCAGTTCTCGAGGCCCCGGTGGCCGTGAGCTTGTGTGCAGGGAGGACCTCAGACGCCCAGGCAGCTGGTCCCTGGGGAGGGGAGATGGCATTCTCGACCACAGTCCCCCAGAGGAAGCGGGTCAAGCGGAAGGCTCCCCGCAGCTTTCTCAAGCGGGTCTTCCAGCGACAGAAGCCTCACTTCCGTCTGGAGAAGAGTGGCGACTTGCTGGTCCATCTGAACTACCTGCTGTTTGTTCATCGATTAGCAGAAGAATCCAGGACAAATGCTTGTGAGAATAAGTGTGGATCATTAATAAGGAGCATATATTGACTGCAGCGAAGATAATTCTAAAGAAGAGCAGAGGTTAGAAGTCAAAGAACACATTCTTGAAAATTCTGTGATGTATTATTTTCGGTGGTAACAACTCATAAAGGCATTTTTACATATCAGTTAATATTATGGATTATTAAAATATTGACTAGTTCAAAAAAAAAAAAAAAATCTGGTTATGACCCCCACTGGGTCACAGTCACAATCACTGGAAAGCACTGGGTTCTAAGAGAGTAGCAAGAAAGAAGTGAGGGAGAGAAAGGGAGGGCCATGGAAAGCCTCCTGTGGCCCTGGTAGGCTTGAAGAGGAATGTACATCACCTGGTAGAGAACACTTGGAACCTCTCACATGTTCATATTAAATAGAAAGCAGTCTTGGCAGGAGTATATCTTGAGAAGAAGTGTGGACACAGATACGGAAAGCCTGGCCTCTACATTCGGACTTCCCATCACATCACAGTCACCTCATTGACTCCTGTAGCTTTGGGCAAGTCATTTAATGTCTCTGTGCCCTAGTATCCTTACAGTTAAAACAGAGATGATCATCCTACTTGCTTTCTGTGGTGTCATGAAGATTAAAAGATGTCTTATATGCAAGTTACTTAACAGTGGCTGACATGTAGTAATGACCACATTTGCTATTTTTCCTGTTCTATTCTGAATTCATTGGTAGCACATGTTCATTTCTAAAACTGCCCCTTTTTTGGTAAAATCAACTGGTTAGCATTTGTTGGATACAACAGTGGATCTACAAAGGATGGTCCTAATTGACAGGAAACTTAGAGCCTAATTGGAGGTAGAAAATATTTTAAACTAACATACAAGGCTGGGCTCGGTGGCTCAGCCTATAATTCCAGCACTTTGGGAGGCCAAGGCAAGTGGATTGCCTGAGCCTGTGGGTTAGAGACCAGCCTGGGCAACTTGGCAAGACCTTGTCTCTACAATAAATTTTAAATAATTAGCCGAGCATGGAAACATGTGCCTGTAGTTCTGGTTACTTGGAAGACTGAAGCACATGGATCGCTGGAGCCCAGCAGGTCAACACTGTGGTGACCGTGAGCGTGCCACTGCACTCCAGCCTGGGTGACAGAGTGAGACTCCAACTCAAATAATAATATTAATAATAATAATAATAACAACAACATGCAGGAGATTACAAAGACCTGCTTAATAATAAACATAATAATTGTTATAGAAGTTTCAGAAAGTGTAAATCAGCATTCTGTTTAACTTGGATGGTATCGATAGTTAAATAGATGAACCAAGAAGGCTGGAAGTAAAACCAAATCTTCCACTTCTTTTTGTGCTGTTTTTTGCCAACTCAGGTTCTTTGGAGGAGATATAGGAGAGGACAGAAGAATTGGCTCTCTCTGTTCTCCAGGCTTGATCTTTTATCATCTTTGCCTTTCACAAAATGGATTGGTGGGAATGAGTCTGAGTTATCCTAGAATTGAAAAGGCTTTTTATTATTTTTAGTATGAGGAGTTTCTCACCTTTAGCCTCACTAGTATTAAAAGTGTTTCTTCCTTCTGACTTGGAATTTACCACTTGTCAAAAAGAAAGAAAAAGTGGAAAAGGTAAATGTTTAATACCTAAAATAGGGCATACATCTAAGAGACTGTCTTGACTAGGCTGGCTTGACTTAGTGGACATGAACCAGCCAAGCTGGGTAGACTCAGAGTCAGGAGGGACCAACAACACCACGGTCATCCATGGGCATAAAATTCTGGTGTCATCTGCAGACATAGGACTCCACTGCCACCAACAGACATAGGACTCCCTGCTATCCACCAACATACCCTCTAGCCCCTAATTTGTGACACTTCTTATTCACCTTGTGCGCTGTCTAGTCCTGCTATCCTTCCACATGACTGGGGGAAGCAGACAGAAGTCAGGACCCACGTGAAGGAGAGTGTTCAGACGTTCGACCCTGTCTTCCTTGGCGTAACCAACAAGTAGAAGAAGTGGGGTCATAGTTCAGGGCCTTTTTGAAGGGCCCTCTCTGGCATCACTAGCCAAGCAGGTCTTCCCTCCCCAGGAATCTGGCTGGCACTGTCATACATCAGGTAAACTTACTTGAGATATTTCTTGTACACTTCAGTCAGGAAGCCACAAGGAGTGTCAAGAGTACTGTCACTGAGGAGCACGGTTTTCTCAGTCCTCTGTCTCCATGAGTAAGTCTCATCTACGTCCCTCCTAAAAAGTCATTCATCCACTTTGATTCCCACATCCTCCCATGCAGCCACCTCTGTTATTCTAGGGATACTTTTCTATCATGTCAATTAACTGGGCTCCCTGCTTCTGTCATGTTCCTTTCTCTTCTCCACTCTGTAGCTATTTAAGGGTCATCCATCCATTCCATATGAATCCACAAACAAACTTCCACCCCCAAAAGAGAAAGGAGTCTGTCACCTAATGGTTGTGATGAAAAGATGGACTGGGAGGTTTGGAATGTTTCTGTTTAATCAGTTATGCCTGGTAGCTTTCATAGTCAAGGGATGGCTAGTCTTGTGTTTCTTATAAGGAACACCTATGTCTTTCTTCAGTATTAAACTATTTCTTCCCATTCTGCCTTACCATAGCCCAAGTTTTTCCTCTGGCCTTGCCCTTTCCACTTTCTTCGCACTCCCAGGCAGAGGCTGGGCCCATGTCTGCAGGACTCTGCCTGGGCCTGGGACTTGGCAGCTGATTCTGATGTGCATTTTGTCTGCTGCTAACAGAAAACTCAGAAGCACGCAGGCCCATTTCTTACTGGCTCTGAGCCGCCAGAGGCCCTAAAGCGCATGGCTGCATGAAATGCTCTGGTTTCTTTCCTTATTGAGGTCCCTGTGAATTATAGATTCATGATGACTGTTCATAAGTCGGCTGCTTCTGATGTCATGACAGGTGTTTTAAGAATGAGTAAGACTAAAAAGCAGCTGTTTTCTGCAGTGGCCACAGAAAAATCTCCAGCTCCCATTGAGCTCTCCCTTTACCATCCTGAATACCTATCGTCACTTTATATATCCAATTTTATAATACACTGAAGACTCTGCTTTACTGTTTACCCATCTTTAAGAAGAGAAGTTTGATGGTAATGACAATGAGCTTCCTTTAAGATAAGGAATAAAAACCCATAGGTTCAAGTAGAAAACTACCTGTCGTCCTTCTTTTTCACTTTGAGGACATTTTTGCCTAGGATGTGCAGTGTAGCTTAAAAAGTGTACTTGCGATTCTGCCTGAAATTAAATTGCAATGGGATATGGATAAAGAGAAGATAGTAGCCATGCATCATTAAGCAGCTAATTTAAATTATAAAATAGACATAAATCATACATATAGTTAAGCTAAAGTATATTAACATTCATCCACAATAATATGCTGAATGTTTACTCATTTTTCATCTCATTTTGTGGTGTAACAAGCATAAATGTAAGATTTTGATTCATTCGTTTCATTTTAGCTTGCAATATATAAGCAAAGCAGTTGTTTAAATGTGCTTTAAAAAGGAGGCTATAATGATATAAACAAATAACTTTTATGAATGAGTTTTAATATATTCTATTTAAATATTGAGCATAATTTTTACCCATTCAGAATATTCATAACATGATGAATGAGTTATATGTAAAAATCAAAGTTTTGTTGTTGCTTTTTTAAAATTTCATCCAAGAAAGGAACAGTATTATGGTTAACATATTTATCTGACATTTCTAGCAATTTCAGTCAATTACTTTCAGCTGCCTGCAAAGGACAGTTAGACTTGTCTCCTGACACTTAGCACTGTGTTTTAATAGGTTGTTTGGAACTTTCCCTCCTATTCACAGGAAGACTGATGAGAAAAGTGAGCATGCACCCCCCATACCTGCAGTCTAAGCAGTGGGGCCCACAAAGCCACAAGAAGCCCAAGTAGCATCAACTCTGACCTGGGTGCCCCTCTCTTTATTTTCTTTTCCTTTCTCATTCCTCAATCTCTATCCCCTTTTTCCTCTGTTCTTCTTCCACTCCATTCATTGCTTCTTCCCTTCTCATGCTATATATCCATCCCTAGCACTCAGGACCCAGGAGGTCATATTAGAAGCTGCTTGCACCAATATAGTGGGTTGAAGGAGGTAATTGAAAGTTCAGATTTGATACTTAGAAACCAACTCTTTTGACCGGTGCCATGGCTCACGCCTATA